AAACAACACATATATATATAATAATAATACTCTCTCTCTCTCTCTCTCTCTCTCTCTCTCTCTCTCTCTCTCTCTCTCGCATTCTCGTGTTAATTAAGTGGACGAAATTATCGAGACGCGTGATTAGAAATTGCAAGAGGTTTCGAAAACTAATATAAAAAAGATGCTTACGTGCCTCGAAATATCGAACTTTTGTATCGCGTATTTTCGAAGCGTGGAACGGAGAGAAGCCCGACGCGACCGGTCGCGACCGTTCAAAACAGAAAACTGATCGAAGCGCGTCGTCGCCCGAGGTCGAAGCGTCGACCGTTTCCACAACACGCGTACCACGGTGAAATTTCGAAACGTAAACACGGAATTATACCTCGATTCGAAATCGACTTTGCCGTACCCGTAATCAATTAAGGAAAAATTCGTTCGAATATTCGATTGATACCGCGTGATTGCTCGATCAATTAACTTGGATTAATTAACGCCCCCGCATTCGTTTACGATGCACAACGATTTTCGTAACGCGCGTTCGATTGCGTTCGACAACGCGTTCGAAATATACCGCGATTCGAGCGCAACAACACGGGGGAGGGGAAAAAAGGAAGAAAGAGAAAAGTTGTAAATCATTGGAAGAAAAATATATAAGAACGGATACGCTTGGAGGAAATCTTGAAGGAAATCGCGTGAGATTCGAGGAACCATGTTTTTACGATCGAATTATCCGCGGAAAATTTCGGTTAACGATCGAAAATCCCGATAAATAGCAGAATATTCGCAGGAAATTGAACATTGATTTTCGAATTAAGAAGAGGGACGCGAATTTTTCAAATTGGAATTTCTCGATTTGTTTCCCTTTTTTAAATATTTAAGCAACGATTGATCGAGCCGAGTCTCGTAGGATATTGAAATATATAAAATAATCGAGGAAATCGGCCTCTCTAATTAGATACTATGATATTTATCAATTATTAATTAACGCTGTAACAAGAAACAGGATATATAGATGCTATGATTGTACGAACGACGATACATTCCAATTCGAAAAATCAATTGAATTTTTTTCGATATTTCCTGTTTGTTTTAATACGAATAAACGATCCTTTCTCGATATTCCTTTTTTTCGCGCGTCGACCAATCTTATGTTCGCACAAGATACGTAAATCGACCGTTTTATCGATGCAATAACGGAATGGCAGTTGGCGGTAATTTAGTATCTAGTCCATTTTGATTTATCGAACGTATGTGGCCAGTGAAACGTATACCGATGTGTGTTTTACGAGGTGCAAACCCGGTTGACAGGCCTCGTCGAACAATGTGGGATCTTTC